TGTAGATGGAAGGTGTTCTGCTTGTAGAAGCTCATATAGGCGCAGAGTTCGCTTATGAACTGTAGGGTTTCCTTCATGTGAGTCAAGGCGGCCAAAGGTGGTAGGCAACCCATCCTTTCGACGAGTAGGAGAGGGTCCTGATAATCGGGACACAGAAGCACTTACGTCTGGTGGATAAAAGTGTCTGCCGCCATCAAGCATCATGCCTCGGACTGTCCAACCGGGTGCATCCTTCCCCTCCCCATAAGGTATTGATCCATCTGAAAGGATTGCCTGTTGTAACACTGTTCGAGTACCCCACCAAGCGCCTAGTGGACTGGCTCCAGAGATGGTGATGCCCGAAGTTGAGACCGATAGTGTGTATCCCTCGGAAGTTTCAGAACCACTGGCAGTCGTGTAAGCGCTCGCATTTCCTAGGGTAAGGAAGATGGCGTCCGGAGCCCCCTCTTCACCAGTCTCTAAACCAACATCAACCCCTACTGTGCTTTTGAGATCGTCAACGAAGGTCGTTGCAAAGTCATGAAGTGTAGGCGGGATTAGGGTCTCCCCATTCTCATCGCGTGAATCTGCGTAGGCGGAGTCGACGATGACGGTACTAATCGTAGAGATGGAAAACTCCTCATTGTCTGAGAGGGTAAATGGGACTGTAGGAATGCCCACGAGTCTCGAGGATGATATCGCTATCAAAATGTGAGCCTCTTGTAGATAGTATCTCAACTGTCTGGACGCACCGAAGAAGAGGGTCACGGCCCCAAGCTCATACAAGTGCCGGATGTACATCGTCAATGTCGCAATTCAGAGTCACGGTAACATCCAAGGCGCCAGTACATGGGGAAATTCGTTCAATGGCCCGTCACAGCGGCTGGTGACTTGATAAGAGAAAAGATGCTACGGGTGCAGCTTGGACTTATGAAGCCCCTCACGGTCCCCGCGACTGCACCGATGAGATAGCAGTGCCATCCGCAATCAAGACGATGATCACTTCGGTGTTGAGAGTTGGGGTTACCTACAGATGACCAATAGCCATACACCTGGTGCAAGGGTCGAGCGGGGATAGCCTTGGCCCACGATGGCTGCGACCCTGATATCTTGATTTCATAATCCGCGGCATCGAAGAAGTTCGGAAAGTCGCATGATGATGCCATTGTGGGCATCTAGGCGCTGGTGCTCATTGTAACGTTTCTTGAGATGGACTCCAACCTATGTTGGTGGATGAGGTTTCCAATATTCGCTCCATTTAGCGGTGAAGGGAGATGCCCTTTCCCCATGAAGTGCAGTAGCATCCGAAGACTTCAGATTAACCCAACAAAAGTACGGTAGACTTGCACTTTCCAATGAGTGGCTTCTACTGTAGTTGGATTACCGGTGCCGAGGGCGCAAAGTGTCCCCTAACCAGCCTGCCAGGCAGGCCTGATCCCAGGACACAAGCTGAGCGACCATGAATTGATATGGGGTTAAGCAGTGAGTAGATGCTCTCCGGCCCCTCGTTCGCTGAAGTGATCCAGTCCGGAAACTTGAACGCAGGCAGTCAGGCAAGTCAGGCGTCGCGAGATGCAGCTTCAGATGCTGCGTGGGGTAGAGATCAGCCCCACAGCATGGTGATGATGCTGATGCTCTTATCGATAAGATCCAGTCGCCTTAATGCATATCCGGAGGGGTGGCGGGGTCCAAAAATTCCAGTCGGAGACAATGCTTCTGCTGCCTACTTCAACGACGGCCTTATGATTATTTATGATTCATCAACCACGCCTTTGGACAAGAAGCTTTACGAGTACTTAACTTGAGTGTTTCCTGGAGAATTTCTCACAGATCCTGTCCTTGAAAAGCTTGCAAGGTTAAGCTCAGGCTGTCGGCGCCGTTCCCAATCCCACGAACTGAACATCGCAAACGGTCGATCGCTGTACACAGCTCGCAGTCGTGTACCACTATAGCCTTTTTGCGCCACGACACCGCTCCAATGGAGGCCACTGCGGCTCCGGCGCATAGTCGCGAAGAGTCCTCGCAGGTCCCGACAAACGACACCGGTCTCGATGTCTCGATAAACCAACGAGTTTCGCCCGAGCCCTCGTCCGCGCCACCCGCCGAGGATGAGGATTCCGACTTCGACGATATCTTCGAGGATGATGACGCAGACTACGAGGAGGATGGCACGGGTGTGTCTAGGAATTACAACCGCCAGCAACCTATGATATCCAGCCAGCATAACAAGCCTGCTGCCAACACCGCCGCCAACGTAGACGACCAAATGTCCGCTCTCTCCAAGCATGCTGCCAAGATCCGTCTCGATGATGTCAAGGATACACAAGACCGCGACAAGGACAAGGCCGACCGTGCCACCAGCGAACAGGTCCTCGACCAACGGACGCGCATGATTCTGTACCAGATGATCAACCGTGGCGCAGTCAGTGAGGTTCACGGCGCCATCAGTACCGGAAAGGAAGCCAACGTCTACGGCGCCGTCGCGCACCCAGACCTCAACGGCCCCTCTATCCAGCGGGCTGTCAAGGTCTACAAGACCGCCATTCTCAGCTTCAAGGACCGTGAGCGATACATCACCGGCGAACACCGTTTCAAGCAAGGAGCGGACAAGGGTAACAACCGGAAGATGGTCAAGCTATGGGCGGAGAAGGAGTTCCGAAACTTGCGACGGATTTATGCTGCTGGCATTCCATGTCCAGAACCCATTCAACTGAAACTGCACGTTCTCGTCATGGGCTTCCTCGGTGACAAGAAGGGTTGGGCGTACCCGCGCTTGCGAGATGCCGCTATCCCTGCGGACGAGGCTGAGGAGATCTGGAGACACCTATACATACAGCTCCTCGGTATCATGCGGCGTCTGTACCAGGTGTGCAGGCTCGTGCACGCGGACTTGAGCGAGTACAATATCCTGTACCACAACCGACAACTCTACATTATCGATGTGTCGCAAAGTGTTGAACACGACCACCCGCGATCTTTGGAATTCCTGCGCATGGATATCAAGAACACCGGTGACTTCTTCAGGAGGAAGGGTGTCGACACGCTGTCTGACCGCACCGTTTTCGACTTCATCATCGCTTCGCAGGGGCCCGTGGAGGACCCGGCCTTGACCGAGGCCATCGAACGGCTCTACTCATTGCGGACAGCCGATGCCGACGACGATACTGCGGCGGCCGAGCGAGAAGTCGATAACGAGGTATTCCGAAATCAATACATCCCGCAGACGTTAGACCAGGTATACGATATCGAGAAGGACGCGGACAAGATCGGCGAGGGCGAAGGCGACAAGCTGGTGTACCGCAGTCTCCTGGCAGATCAAGTAGTAAAGCAGAAGCAGGGCGACGCCGAGACCGAAAGCTCGTCTGAACAGTCGGACGATGGGGCAGCGCTCTCGGACAGCGATGACGAGAGCGATGGTGATGAGAGCAGATTTTCGAAAGGTCCTCCGCGGGGCAAACGCTTCCAGGACAAGGAGGAGAAGAAGGTCAGTGCATGTGCTCCGAGCTTCGGTACCGTGTGCAGGGATTGGCCTGTCGCACGGGCCACTTCCGCCTCCCCCTTTTTCCCCAGCCACCTACAATTGTGACTTGAATGCTAACTGCCAACAGCAACACAAACAAGCCGTCAAAGAGGCGAAAAGCGAGAAGCGCAAAGAGAAGATGCCCAAGCACCTCAAGAAACGCCTGGTAGCTACGAGTTCTAGGAAGAAGAAATAGATCCGGGCGGCATCTGTGCCATGGCCAACTTTGATACCCTCTCAATCTTTCTTTCAATCGTATGGTATCCATGTGAAATTCCCGAAAACATCGCGCCGACACTTCGAAATACGCAAACTTCGGACGTCATGCCAGCACGTCCGTTCCGAGATATCGAGTCATACATAGTGCGCGCTATGGGTTTCCTTCCATCGATGAGGTGGGACGCGACGAGGTAAGTGTATTTATTTCTCACTGTCTCTTTGACTCCGTCTACTTCATAGCAAGTTCGCCATGTCGATCCCTACCACCTTCCTATCCCCGATAAAGAAAGACCGCTGCGCTGTCCCAAGCCCCCCCTCTCTCCTTCCCTGCGATCGAATGACGAATCATATCAGCCGCACCCTCGGAGTCAGGCACTGCGTTTTCATCACCCGTGGTGATAACCGTGTCCACGACTACTACGTCTGGGATGCGGACCGAGAGTCTTCCCCGTCGGGGTACCATGCGGATCAAAGAGAGCACTGACGATTGCATTTCCATCTTCGCGTCTATCTATATATTATACCCTACACTGCCTTGCCTGCCTGCCCTTCCCTTCCCGTTATGTCCTGAAGTTGGATAGCCGGCTGGCTAGATAGATACCCTCGAATACCACTACCAATCATCATCTATCTACCTACATACACTGATATTGTTTGACGTTGCGTGGTGTGCCTATCTGTTTTGGTGTGTGTGCATGTCGTTGTGGTGTATACGTGTCGTGGTGTTGTTTGTGTATCGTGGTGTGCATGCATGCGTGTGTCGTGGCTACGTCATACTGCTGTTTCTCCATACCATGCCATCTCAATCAAATTGGCGAAGTCGGCAAGAAGGCCCGCTGGTGGGTGGCTGACGAAGTTCGAAGCGCATGGCAGCAGAGTTGAGGTTCCTGCGGGTGTTGTTGGGCCATTACGGTGGTGGATGGATGATGTGGTGTGGATGATGGGGAGTGAGCTGGGGGACTACTATTATTGGTTGGGAATAGAGTCATGCGGGCGAGGTGGGCGTCATGCCATCCATCCATGGTGGGCGGGAGGAATATGTCATGGAGAAGAAGATGGACAGAAAGAAATAGGCTTCTTCTGCTGCTGACTGACTGCGTGTCTATAGGAGCGAAGGGTCATCGAGGCTGAGCGGTCGAGGGTTCGAATTCGGGCACGTCCATCGCGGCTGCGGAAAGGAATCCCCATCCTCCAAAAAAAAGATCATCTCAATCAACAAACAAACAAACAACCATGATGAATGAGGAGATTATGAGGAAGGAACAGCAAGAAGAAAAAAGATTGGTCGGACTGGGATTCGAACCCAGACCAGTCTCGTGTTTGCCCCCACAGGAATTGGCGTGGCACCCGCACCCCCCCAGGACTTACGTGAAGTCCCAGGCCGCCCACCTGGCGACTAAGGTGGAAGAGCAGAGACTATCATACCATTAGACCACCCGACCGGTCAGAGGAGATGTGATTGTTGGGAGATCGGTTCCCTGAACTCCCTTATAGGTTTTAGGCGGCCGGAAAGGGGATGCTGGCCCGGAGTTCCGCCGAAGCTTGGACCCTGCACGCGGTCGTCTACGCGTAGCGCGTGCGGGTGCTGTTGCTCAGGGGGGGCTCAGGGCTCTGGTACAGCATGCGCTTAGTGGCCTGGGGGCCCTGCACGAAGACGGCGGGAACTGGCGCGGTAGGTAGCCTGAAGTCCTGCTAAGGCTTGGACGCTGCAGGCTGTGGTCTACGCAGATCGTGGCCCGGTCAGTGCCACTGCTCAGGAGAGCTTAGTGATCTGGTGTACTCATACATACGGTAGATGGCCTGGAGAGGCAGACAGGCCGAAGCCCAAGCAAGGGACGGACATAGCACGGTAGCCCAGCGTTGTTCCTGGGCTTGGACACTGCGGGTGATGGTTTCCGCATACCGCCTTTCCGTGCCACTGCTCAAGGGAGCTTAGTGCTCTGGTATACATACATACGCATGCATCACGAAGGCGATTGATAGCCCACAGTTCTACCTGAGCTTCGCCCCTGCGGACCCTGGTCTACGCATACCATGATCCGGTGCCCGTCCTCAAGCTGGGGTTCAGTGCTCCTCCCTATGTACTCACGCATCACGAGGCCTGGAGGGCCATGACGATGCGGATTCGGTGAAACAAACATCTGCCCACGAGATTGAGCTATTTTGATCTTCAGGTCCTGGATAGGGGGTTTAACGACATTCTTCCCCGGCCTTGACTACGGGAATGTCAAATCATACATAACCCGAGCATACCATGCACAAGCCATGCCCATCCCATCCTGGTAGTACGGCCCGACGCCAGCTCACACGACAAATATATACTCCGATGCCGCATGAGCAGCTACGAATGTAGTGCCACATCCGTCTCCTATTTGCAGATGAGAACCGCGCAATTGAACTCCCCTGGACATGGGAGATATCAGATCATACCACCATTCTACTCACTCACTGTGCACTCTTAGACCGCCCAGTCCGCACCGAGGCAGCAAGGACATGATCCGAATCAGGGAGGCAGTTAGTGCTGTCCCAGGATCTTCATGGAGTTAGTTGCAGCCTGGACAGGACAGTCTCGATGTTGAAGCGACTCCGCGTGAGGTTTTTCACGAGCAAGTGCGCACACACACTTACTTCACAGGAGTTAAAAATCAATGGAAGTTTCCTTATTGTTACCAATCAGGCATCGTGATAGCCTGTCCTACACAAGCACCGTCAGTTTCGCAACGGTCCGCAGCTAACCTTAGACGTTGACGTTGGGAGTGTCACATGACACCCACCCACTCGCCCGGTAGCGCGGTACGCTCCTCTGGGCTGGGGCAAGCCGGGCACGTGATTGCGCCACTCCATGACTAGACTACTTTCCTACCAACAGCTTTCCTGCGCGTCAACCCTGCTGCCACCGATTCTTCTTTTGCTCTGCATATCAATTGCGCTTCCTGCATCCGGGACCTTTGGTGGGAACACAACATTTCATTCAGTACTTTGCGAGTTTATCATCTTGCCTGACGAATAGGAACTCACCATGTACCCAGCATTGATGTCCCTGTAGCTCCTTGTCAATTATTGAACAAGGGACCGTCAGTCATTTAAGGTCCCAACCATGAGGCTTGACTGTCTTCCCACAAACACTGAAACTTGGGAAAAGGACTGCCTCTTTTGCCAAGTGGCACCATAGACAGATCAGCTCCCATCAATTCAAGATATTCATGATCACGGTCCAAGAGTATGCAGAAGGTCTTCTATTGACTTGTCTCTGTACTCAAACAAGGCCAACAACACTCGGCTTTGGCCGGTGTCCATGACACTATTCAAATATGTACAGGGTCGGTGACTGGCTTCTTCCAGTAGATCTCTTCCGGCATGTGTACAGAATGGTCGGCTACTCCTGCCCAACCGTCCTGCTTGCTCAAGTTTCGCATGACCTCCGGCTATGACAGCTTTTAGAATCAGAATGAGCCCGCCATGTAGCAATGCAAAGCAGGCGAAGTGGTATCATATCCTCCTCGCGCTAATGCGGGATCGAGGTGAAAGCTTCGGAAGTACAACAAGAAGAATATTAAGGAGATGCTGACAAGCATATGTGTGGGTGTTCTCAATCCAGATCGACGTATCGAAAGGATGAGTACGAATTGAGGTTTCAGTCATGACTGTGCGACCGACGACACAAATGAGAATGCGGCAATGCGCTGCACGTTGACTGAGGGGTGAGAAAATGCGTTGGGGTATCTTGTCATGAGCAAGGAGATTTGTATGGGTGGAATGATCGGTGGACGGGGATACCCCTTCTTATTGTACAAGGGAGCCGTGGGCCTTGTGGGCGTCTTGCAGAGCTGTCCTCGTTGTTAGTAATCCAGAGCATACTCATCTGTTCTGCGAAGGCAATGCAACTTACCGCTCAATACGTCCAGTTGGCCAGCCCGGTCTCCGCAGGCAACCTGCAGGCACGAACCCTCCAAAAGATCCAGCACAACGCTGTTCGGCAGCTCCTGGACCTCAACATCCGGAACGTAGGGTGTGCGGAAGTCACTGAGATGGTATCGTTTGATCCCGGTGCCAGCAGTCTTTTCCTTGCCGTTGGCAGCCCCGCCCTGAATGGCACTCAACAAGAGGAACCCTTGCGAGTCTACGCACATGCTGCGGCGCTTCCAGAGTAGGTTGTCGGGAAACTGCACGTTGACGTCGCCCAAGTACGCCACAGTACTGGTCGGCTTTGGCGCCTCCTTCGCAACCTGAGCAGGTTCCTCCTCAGTGACGGTGGGCGAGATGTTAGCCTGGAGGGTCTTGCGGCTGGTCCCGAGTGAGCTCGAAAGCCTGCGCATGAACGAGGTTCGCTTCTTGGATTTCTTGTCGCTGGCTGCCTTGTCTTCCTCTCCAGAAGGGGCACTGTCACTAACAGCCGAGGATGGAGAAACGAGCGGTCCAGGCGACGTTGAGTGTTCCCGGTCGCGACTCATGGACCTTCGACTCGATATCGATAAACGACGGGCAAACCCTCCATTATGGTGGGCCGATGGTGGTCGGTTCGGAGATTTGAGCGTTGGTGATGGAGACATGACAGCCAGGCTATCCGTCGATTTGTTGAACGTAGCGTGGTCCTTCAAGAACCCCTTCATGAGACTCAATGACGTCCGTCTCTTGGCCGTCTTGTCGCCGTCGTCCGTGGGTCTGTGCTCGCGCCTTTCTTGAATGGATACCTTGGGGTCCTCAACCACTATACTGTAATCCAAAGCTTGCGCGGGTTCGGGAGATTCGGATGTTTGCACGTCCACCTGCAGTGGCGATTGCTTCAGTTCGACAGCTGCGGGGTCTATCGAGTTTTTGCGTGCCTCAGGTTGTTTCGCGCGAGACTGACTAGGATCACGCAAAATCCTGGCAGTGACTTGTATGGATTCGGGACGACCTCGGGGTGGATGTTGGCCTTCAAACACTGTAAGTCTGCTGGACATCGAACCAGACCTCCCTCGTCGCTCCCCCTTACCAGCGGCATCCGGTGTAACGTCGCGCGATCGCTCGGGCGTCGGGTCCAATGGAGATGCGCCGTCTACGGCGGAGGGTGGTCTCGAAGTGTCTCGTACGGACGGCTTACGAACCGAGAAGAACGTGGAGGAGGAGGAGGGGGCGTTGTTGGCTGTCTTGGGTCGAGGGATCTCAACGGGTGGACCAGTGGTCTGGCGCGCTTCTAAGGCCTTGATACGCTGCGAAATACCGGATCCCATTTTGCTGTTTTTGGACTGTAAACCGGCATTGGATTCTTGTCGTGTAATAGTATGCAGGAACGCTGCACCGCCAGCCGACACACTTCGGGCCGAACTAAGTGATACATCTCCAGACCCAATTACGGGCCCGCGCATGGGCGTAGACACCGTACGGGATAGTCGCCCGGCTGGCTTTGGAGGGCTTGAGCCGGGGAAGACGGGCGTGATGGGCGATTTAGAAACAATAATTGGTTTTGCTTCTTGTAAAGTAGCCGATTGGAGTTCCTCCATGAGGGCTTCATCAAGCAACGGGTCGAATGACTCGGTGCCACCGGTTGTCATGTTCGTCCGAATAGGATCGACAGAATGCTTGCGTCTATTCGAATTGGGAGGAAGGTTGAGCTCCGGGGTTTTCAAGGTGGGTGCTGGAGAAAGCTCGCTTGGTAGTTTCTGCTCGTTGGACGAGAATTTGGAGAGAGGAACTTCCAATGGAGACTTCGGCTGATCATTTTCTTCCTTAGCAACATCCGTGGCTTCGGTAGGTGTAGCGTCGTCGGCTTCTTTCTCGCCGTTGTCTGTCGCAAGCCTGATCGCGTCCGCATCAGCTATCACGGCGCTCATCCGTAGCCCGGCCGCCTTCGCCATCTCCGCTTGGCTGTCTTCCTGTACTTTCGTAGCCGGAATAGTCTCGTCTGTGGACTCAGACAATGATGATGCTTTCGTAGAGTCGCCAATTTCCGAGGAAGAGGCGGCTGTTGGAGAAGTCGGGTTGTATTCGGAGGTAGTATCGTCGGATGTCGCCGTAACAGGCGTTGGCAGGTCAATGGCCTCGCCGTTGGAGGTGGCGTGAGCATTGTGATGTTGTGACCCTGGGGGATTATCAGTATTTCGCAAGGGCAATACTCCATTCTCTTGGCTTGGCGAGAAAGATTCGTGGTCCGTTGAATCTTTTGGCACTTCGGCGTTCTTCAACCTCTTCTCCCTCATCATTTTAGCCTTCATGAGGCGCACTCTTTCAGGTGTCATTTTCACTTCTTTCGTGGAGGTAATCAACGAAGGCGTCACCGATCTGATTGACGCCCCAGAACTCGTGGCCGGACGCGGGGGAAGTTGACTATCCGTGATAGTTGGCGGGGTCTCCGGTATAGGCAGGGCCGTGGTCTGCGGGCTTTGAGCGTCGCTGTCGACGATCTCCACTATTTCGTCGTGCACCGGATCACCAGAGCCCATCTTCCTTGTCCCTTTCGCCC